TTCTCTTCTAGGACATTCCACTACTTTAAAAGGAGAAATGCCTGCAAGGCATTGATGTGAAAGGTTCGAATGGGCTGAAGGAATCCAAGCTCTGTGGAAAAGATGCAACACATTTTTTACAGTGTGGAAGGCAGGACCCTGATGAGAAAGCAGGGTTCATAGGAGGACACATGTGGAGACCTCTGCCAACCCAATTTTCATTCTTTGCCATGGTTTTCCCCTTCAAGTGTGTGATGCCTTCATCTGTTTAATGTTATTAAGTCAGCTGGCTTTCCTTTAAAACCACAGTCCCAAGCAGAGCTTGGGAAAAGATATTTTGAACTATAACTTCCAGAATCTCCAAACCTATTTAAGTATTTAAATACTATTTAAGTACTAGTACACTGGATGAGGGATTCTGAGGTGTGTGGTGCAAAAGTAATGCTTTCAAGCTATGGGATGTGAATAGAACAAATCACAGTAATGATGGCAAGGGGTTAGAAAAGATTAAAGAAAAAAAGAAAAATGCACTGATAAAATAGGATTTCAATTTCATTAACTACACTTGGGAAGCAAGCAGTGAGCAAATAGAAAATTGGATGTCTGAAGAAGTACTGAAATTTGTATTACACCACCTGAAGGTTCTTCATTTCTATCTGCTAGGTCAAGCAAACCAATTTGGCTTCAACTGCTCTTTGTTTGTTTGCCTAACAATCTAAAAGTGTTTAAGTTTTATTCATATAAAAGTGACCTGTTCTGTTTTTTCATGTTTCTCCTTCTGTCATGGATGAAGAATCCCACATGTATCTCTAAGGAGGAACATAGTTCTAAGTAACAGCTGGAGGGGCTGTCCAGACAACGTTCTGGACAGTCCCAAATTAATTCGCTACAAATGAATTAACGGATTAATTTGATAGTGGATTGATAGTGGATTTATCCCACACCTTCTTGGAAGGTTTGCGATAAATCCACTATTTCCAGTGCCTTTTTCTACAGTCCAGACTCCATTCCCACAGTTTACCAGGATAAATAAACGTGGATTCTCCTGGGATAAAGGCCGGTCTGGATCTGGACTTAGTCTTCTCTTCTTCTTCTCTTGCTCTTTCTTCTCTGAGTCTTCTCTTCTCTTCCAGCGACTTGGAAGACATCGAATTGTTGCCGAATGGAAGACATCAAATTGTTCCCTAAACATCCTTGAGTCGCCCTCAGGCTGAGAAAGGCGGTATTCAAATACCATAAATAAATAAAGAAATAATCACTCCAAAAACAAGAGTAGTAAGCCTTTTACCTGATAGCCTAAAATTGTTTATAAAGTGAGGGGCCAGGCAGGTTACTATACTGGTTTTGTAACAGTCCATTATATCTGCCCACTTGCAGGACTTACAAGGAGAGGGAAAATTATTTTTCCCCATCAATTATTATTCAAATATTCTTAAGTATGAAGAAACACAATGTATTCCATGTCTCCAAGTAAGTATGCATAACGATAGATTGCAGTCAGTCCTTATTATTCCTATGAAAGTTCAAGGACAAAAACTCTTGGTACTTGATCATTTAGATTATTTAGAATTTCTGATTTATGCATCCTGATGACACTCAATTTCATAGAAGACTTCATGGTCCAGTTTTGTCAGATCATATTGGTGGGATTCAATACTCTGAGCCTGGTCTTGGGGTAGGCTTGAATCCTCCTCCCCATTCCAGAGCCAACGCCTATGTAATGTATTTCAACCAGTTTTTTTTCTGTGTCATTGTTGTCACAAGGTGTCATCCTCTTGAATGGGCACACAGCAGTAATGCTTTAACAAAGTTCCATTTGCTCAGGAAAATTTATTTTAACATCTAAGATGTTTAAAGGTAGTACCATAAGGTGTGGATCATATTCAAGTTCTTTTGTTTGGGAGAAAAAATGTGTGATAGTTAAATATTTTTCCAACACTGGCGTATTGTGCATAAACATGTTATTAACTCAGCAATCTGTATCAGAAAAAATGACAGTCGCATAGATTTGTATTTTGTACTTGGCAATCAGTCCAACTGGTCCCCAGTTCATTACCCTTTGTACAAATGGAAGCCATTCAAGGTCCTATACTTACTAGCAGAGTAACTATAAAAAAGAGCAGATGGGTCTTCAGAGACTCATAGTGAAATAGTGTAATGGATAGGGAGACAAAACACACTTCTTTCTATTATGGAGATATATTCCCTTCAGATTTGCTTCCTCCAATTAACCAACTGGATAATTGGAGGAAGGGCCTTTTCATGCATTCTCTCTCCAAATTCTCTTCTAGAGAGAAAAAAATCTTGCAAAGAGACTGTTACTTTTTAGGACCATGATTCCCAGAATCTCCCTACCAGATATTCTCTCCCCAAAATTATTAAGGAATAAGAAAGAAAGAAAGAAAGAAAGAAAGAAAGAAAGAAAGAAAGAAAGAAAGAAAGAAAGAAAGAAAGGTAACTGTCCCATACAATGCACTGATTCCCTCCTTTAATGATAGGAACTCTTGTAGTTTGCATATTCTATACAATGCACAGTTCTACAATGAATGGTGATCCGTAGTATTATAGCCACAGCCTTGTACTATTTTACATGGAGATCATGACTACACTTCAGAAGAACTCACTAACAGCAAGAGCTATTTGTTAGGCTCCCTGAAGATGGTTCTCATACCCCTCCTTTTTACAATAGACCTGTGAGGTTGGTCAGAATTAAAGACAGAGAGTGACTGGTCCAAGGTCACCTCATGAGTTAGAGTAGGGGTTGGAAATTCTAGTAAATACAGGAACCCCACGGACAGTCGAAAATACCACTAAATAATGTTGAACATAGATGGAGCAAGCACGCTCCCCTGAGGCAAGCCGTTCTTCTGTTTCCGCCATCTGCTTCTCTGGCCTGGAACTCATCCATATTCAACATTTACACAAATGACCAGCCACTGCCAGAAGGGACAGAGAGTTTCATCTATGCTGATGATCATGCCATTACTGCTCAAGCAGGGAGCTTTGGGATGGTAGAACAGAAGCTCTAGGTGCTCTTACTGCCTATTACAGGGAAAACCAGCTGATCCCTAATCCATGTAAAACACAGACATGTGCTTTTCACCTTAAGAACAGACAAGCATCCCGAGCTCTGAGGATTACCTGGGAAGGAATCCCACTGGAGCATTGCAGTGCACCCAAATACCTGGGAGTCACTCTGGACCGTGCTCTGACCTACAAGAAGCACTGCCTGAACATCAAGCAAAAAGTGGGTGCTAGAAACAATATCATACGAAAGCTGACTGGCACAACCTGGGGATCACAACCAGACACAGTGAAGACATCTGCCCTTGCACTATGCTATTCTGCTGCTGAGTATGCATGCCCAGTGTGGAACACATCTCACCATGCTAAAACAGTGGATGTGGCTCTTAATGAGACATGCCACATTATCACGGGGTGTCTGCGCCCTACACCACTGGAGAAATTACACTGTCTAGCCGGTATTGCACCACCTGACATCCGCCGGGAAGTAGCAGCCAATAGTGAAAGGACCAAGGCAGTGACATCTCCAGCTCATCCCTTGTTTGGGTATCAGCCAGCACGTCAATGACTTAAATCAAGAAATAGTTTTCTAAGATCTACAGAGACACTCGCTGGAACACCCCAGCAAGTGAGAGTCCAAAAGTAGCAGGCTCAAACCCAGAACCTCAATCAATGGCTGATACCAAATGAGAGACTCCCCCCTGGGCACACAGAAAACTGGGCGACTTGGAAGGCACTGAACAGACTGGTCTCTGGCACCACGAGATGCAGAGCTAATCTTAAGAAATGGGGCTACAAAGTGAATCCACAACATGCGAGTGTGGAGAAGAGCAAACTACAGACCACCTGCTGCAATGCAACCTAATACATGCAAAATGGAGGACCTCCTTTCAGCAACACCAGAAGTACTCCAAGTGGCCAGCTACTGGTCAAAGGACATTTAATCAACTACCAAGCTTGCAAACTTTGTGTTTTGTCTGTCTGTTTGTTTGTTTGTTTGTTTGTTTTGTTTTGTTAAAAATGTAATACTAATGCCTAGTTGCTCTTGACATGATAAATAAAATAAAATAAAATAAAATAAAATAAATACCCCTTCTTAAAATCAACTAGCTAAAGAAAATTGGGGAGGAATCCCTCAGTCTATCTATGCTAAGTAATCATTGAGAGCTGGAGACTTGTGCAGTCAGGGATGAAACCCAACAACCATACCCATGCTTCTTAAGTTCTCCAACGTGAGGAACCAACATTTCTTCCCATCGTGCCAGAGTTATTGTTATATGCTTCAATTTAAGACTCCAACTTATGTTGACCTTATCAAATCATTTTCTTGGCAAAAATGATTCAAAGTGCGGGACTAGTATTGCCTCCCAAGGTCTCTCAGGGGCAGGCATGTAGCCAGGGAGGGGGGCTCAGGGGGCTTCAGCCCCCCCCCCCCGAAATTCTCATGATGGTTCGCGAAAAGGCCTTACTGGTGCATTATTTAAACTGTTATGTTTATTCATATCATGATCTGATCACCATACTCAATATATCCCATATGCATGGGGGTATTGGGGTAATGATACAAAAGGTTTGCTAGGCTAGACCCTCTTTCACTCAGACTCAGCCCCCCCCAAAACTCAGCCCCCCCCCAAACCTCCCCTGAAAAAAATTCAGCCCCCCCCCCCGAAACGAAATCCTGGCTAAGGGCCTGCTCAGGGGGGTTCTCGGTGCCACTGTCCAACATTCAAACCACTACACCACGTAGGCCGGGAACCACTACCATATTAGGACCCACTGACTCTTTTTTTTCTTCCTTCCTTTCTTTCTTTCTTTCTTCCTGGAAACTCTTCTAGAGGCAGCATTTGTATTTCAACACTTTTAGAATAAAAAAATACTCTTCAAAAAGATCCCAGTTGGCTCAAGGTCACAAAAGCAGTGATAACTTTACAATTATACCAGCTACGGAGTGAATGCTTTTCGCCTAGTTTCAAACATCATTAATTTCTCAGCCTTACCTCTATGCTGGATGTCTGGGTGCTCACTGGGAAGTGTTTTCTTGGCAGCTGCCCTGCGGTACACCACATGTGTCCTACCTTCCTCCTCCTCTTGCTTCCCTTTCTGCAGAGGTTCAATGAAAAACTCGTCCTTGTCGGTGCGAATCATGCCAGCCTAAAGTGACAAGACAAAGATGGAACATTTCAAATTACTGCCTGTGCCACAGACATTTTGAATAAACCTTCACAATATGCTTAAGCACACTTTAGTACTCTCAGGAGAGCAGTTAGGATGCGGAGAGTAAGCAAGGTGAATTCTTTACTGCAGCAGGAAAATACAACATTAGTGTCTCTACTTGACTAGGAAGGGCAAAGTAAAACATTGGACTAATGGGATTTCTTCTGGAATCTAATTAGCAAAGCCTTGGATTGGGACACATAAGGACAAGGAATCAGGATTTCTTCTGGAATCTAATTACAGTAATGGAGTCAGCTGTATGATAAGAGGGAATCATGGACAGAACACCACTACAGTGGATGACTTAGTGATAACAATATCCAAAGTTATAGCACTAAAGTCCATTAGCTTTTTAAAATGTTAATTATTATAATAGAATTTTGCATTGGAAAGACCATCCACTCCAATTTATTTAATTTCATGTGATGTAAGATGGATTTCAACAATATTAAAACAGAATGTTGCTAAAACCCCGAGGATGCCAAAGTTAGAAAAATCACCTCAACATTAAATGCAATATATGGTAATTTAGTTTAAACCAGTATGATGTAATTTCAATATTCTGCTTAAGATCACACTTAAGATGATTTTGTTTAACTTTCTTATTGCAAAGGAGAGCATAATGAATGGAGCAACAAGCTAATGCTAATAGTGATCAAGTAGTATATGCAACAAAGTAAAAAAAACTTCATTTGCTTGCATTTGGGCATTCATAATTGAAACATATCTGATAGATCACACTTATTTCAAGAATGTGCACAGAAAAGTGTATACAAAAACATAGGAGAAGCCATGAAAGTGTGAATCATGCATCCAGTTTTTTTAAAGGTATGTAGAAAAGGGGCAGATGCTTCCACTCAAAATGGATGGTAGAAAAACCTGCCCAGGCATGCTATTATTGTTGTTTGCCTTCAAGTTGTGTCTTATAGTTACTTTGTCATAAAAGCTTTTTTTCCAAGCTATCTTCAAGAAGAGGTTTCCTTTTGCCATGCTCGAAGCCAGAAAGAGTGTGACTTGCCTGAGATCACCCAGTCCTAGACCAGATACTGTTATTGTTAACTGCCGTCAAGTCAACTTTGACTTATGACAGCCCTGTGAATGGACTCCTTCAAATCATCCTATCATCAAAAGCCATGCTCAGGCCATTCAGACTCAGGATTGTGGCTTCCTTGGTTAAGTCTGTTCATCTATTACGTGGCTGTCTCATTCCTTCATAGTTGCCCAGAATCGGTTTCTGATTGACTGAAATCCCAATCCTGATGAATGACTGAGCCAAGTATGGAAAATCCTATTCCAATGTCTTGATCATTGATTTTAAAGTTATGCAAATAATCTGTGATCATTATTTTTGTTTTGTTAATGTTCAACTGTAAACCTAACTTTTCACATTCTTCCTTGATTTTCTTCAGTATTTGTCCCAAGTTTTTGCTATTTTCTGCTAGCAGCATGATGTCCCTACAGATTGTAAACTGTTGATGTTTCTTCCTGCAATTTTCATGCCTCCTTCCTCTAAGTATAATCCTGTTTCATTTATGATATATTCAATATACAAGTTAAAACAGATAGGATGATCAAATACAGCCTTGCCTGACTCCCTTGCCAATTAGAAACTATTCGTTTTTTCCCATATTCTGTCTTGTTGATAATCTCTCGTCCTGAATTCAGGACAATCAAATTTTGTGGCATGCTCATTTATTTAAGAGTGATCCATAGTATGTTGTGACTAATACAATAAAAATTGCTATACTCTGTAAAGCATTGGCTGATACTCTGAAGTTATTTGGTGTGCTCTGTTATCCAAAATATTTGCCCCTTTCGGAACCCAGGTTAGACTTCTGACATTTCTCCTTCCATATATGGTAAAAGACTTCATTATAGAATTTTGAGCATCAATTTGTTTGTATAGGAAATTAATGCAGTGGTCCTATAGTTACTGCAATCCTTGGTGTGCCTTTATTGCAGACTGGAATGTATACTGAGCATTTCCAGTCTATGGCCCCTTTTTCTGTTTTCCATATTTGTTCAGGGGGGTTAATTAAAACTAGTGTAGATTCCCTCTCTTTAGTTTGAAGCAGCCAAATTGGTGTATCTTCTATTCCTGATTATTTCCTTCTCACAAGCATTCTGAGTGCAACTTCCACTTCACTTTCTAAAATTGGAGATTCATATTGAAATGGTTCTTGCTTTAATGGATCTGTCATCCTTTCATCCCTTTTATGTTGTTTGATGTATTGTTCCCATTGTCTTTTTATTTCTAGTTGGTCATGTAATGTACTGATTTGCATGCCATAGAGCATCCCCACTCTTGGTTTAAATTTCCCTTTGATTCCTTACTTAGCTCTTGTACCCCCCCCCCATCTTGTATCCCCCCCCCTCATTTTGGATTATTGCATCATAGGGTTTTTGTGAAAGTCAGTTAAAAGGTATTTACCATGCCTCCTTCTGTGCAGTACTATCTAGCATTTGCTATGGTGCCATTGCCATTATGACTGGGAAATTCTCTGCCAGTATCACCCTCCACTTCTACTGCTGCCCAGTACCTGTTTGGCACATTCAGTTTGATTCGTCAGCAAAAGGTCTGTCTGATAGGGAAGAATCTACCGGCTGCACTACTGCCATCAGCAGTCTCTTACCTCACAGGAGCACACAATCTCACCACTCTAAAAAGGTAGTGCCATGGGTGGGAGATCAGACTTAAAGATGGGAAAAGGAAAAAATAGAGAGTGTCAAACGGGTGATTTATCATGGCACAGTTGTCACTAGGGCTAAGTGACAGTGGCCACTTTGACTCTTTTGTCAAGCTTGAATGTCCCCATTGCTCTCTATTCAAACTATAAGTGTTTGTGTTTGTGCGAGAGGAACATCCTGCAGCACATTTTGCACAACCCTACCAGCATTTGTCCTATGCTACCAAGTTATACTGATTGTGATATCAGCAGGAGCTGAGTCATCTTTCTTCCTTTCTATTTGTGGGATAGGAAGTTATAGATTCACTTTCTCTGTTCAGCTGAAAAGCAGAATATAATGCTGCCACGCATTTAAAGACAGAAAAAAAATGAAAGGACCATACAATGACTTTGGGCCTTCAAGTGTACAAACATAAGACAGAAAGGTCTGCTAACCATCAGTTGAAGAGAGAAATGACATTTGACTGACCAGCCTTTATCCTAGAAGCTATGTGACACAATGAAAATAAAATGTAATTTTCTACTGATTAATAAAACCAATGGAGACTGCCGGAGTGGGGAAACATGTGAGCTTGCTGCACACCAGATGAAATAATTATGCAATTTAAAAAATCCTAATATGCACTGCATATTTTTTCTTTTGCAATTAGCAGGATTAAGAATTGATGTAGGTGCATATCTTGTGGTATAAGACCAATAAAGGAAAAAACAGTGTGTGATCCTACAACTCCCATAAGAATTGGTTATGCTACTCAAGGTCAATGGGAGCTGTAGTCCCAATGACATCTGAAGGGCAAAATATTCTCCATATTTTTCAGAGAAGAACGGAGATTTGCAAGGTACCTTGCATCGCTGGGTCTCTCACTTGGTCTACTCTGTTGCATTTTGCCCGGATGTTTTTCTCTAACCACTTAAACCATTTCAATTTCAAAAATATTGCAGACACAGGTACAAAAAATTAATTAGCAGTTGCAAGACACAATGGTGACAGCTGGAGAAACTAGACATTAAGGAAGGCAAATGGGAACAGTACAAGCTCGCAAACCTTGTTAGTGTTGCCCTCTGCTCTACAGTATTTCCACAGTATTTCTAATGTATTTCCACAAATCTGGCTTCATCTTTTCACAGATCTTTCATCTTATAAGACAGCGAGCACAAAGATCAACCTTCAAGCTTGGCTGGCTTTGGTGGAGTGGTAGTGGTTGTTTTTATTTTTAATCTTGCACAAAAAGTACTCAAATCTGAAGCACAGCCTTCACTCACATGGATAAGATGATGTTGTCCATGATTATCATGTCAACAATTTACCAAAAGACTTATGAAAAGCAGTAGAATAATATAAGGAAAGACCTCTAGCTTTCATTTTGTTTTTATATGTCAAACTGCTGGATGTCATGTTGTGACCCCATGTTATTTCCATTAATGTTGTTGTTGTTGTTGTTGTTGTTGTTGTTTTACCTTCAAGTGTTTTCTAACTTATGGTGGAATTGCAGGGTTTTCTCAATTAGATTTGTTCAGAGGTGATTTAGTTGTATCTTCTCCTGATGTTGAGATAATGTGACTGGCCCAAGGTCATCCAATGGATTTCCATGGCTCAGAAGCAATTCAAACCTGATTGTAACCCAATGCTCAAACCACACCTGCTTTTCACATTCCTGTTAACATAGTAATACACAATAAGAACCCCATAACCACAGAACCCACACCTGCAGTTTCACTTACACATGACAGGGACTGGTATCTCGATGAATTTGCTAAATCCTTCAGGCAATGTTTGTGTTTACTTCTGTCAGAAGTTACCGTAGAGTGGCCTTAGAAGACCCAGCAAATCTATAGAACCTGCAATGCCACTTTATGCTATGCTGAAACTAGAAGTGACCTAATTCAATGGTGTTTGTTTGTATTTACAGTTTCACTTAACCATGGTCCAGCTGGGAACATATCCTCCACCTCCATGGCTATGGGATCTCATCATAATTTAGATATAACCAGTACTGAATGACAAGGCATTGAGTATCTGTGGCACTCAACTTGCCTGAAGATTAAGGTCTGCTAGACTAGCTGTCCTCTGGGTACCATCAGTGGAGTCAGTACAGAATGGAAAATATTCCAAAAAATGGTTGAAAAAAGACATTTCTTGAGATTCAGGAAATCCTAATGAAAATAATGCTGGAATGACAAGAATCTTTGTAATCCACCAGGACTTATTCTGTACAAAACGTTTGCACAGAAAACAATATTTCCCATGAA